AACTGATTACGGCAATTCACTACTATTCGGACAACCAGAGAATACTACAAAGTCACTACAACATGCTCAGAACACAGCAGCAAGAATTGTGACACACACAAAGGAATGTGAACATATTACACCGATTCTACAAGATTTGCATTGGCTACCGGTAAAACTCAGAATTGAATACATGATGCTACTAAACACCTACAAAGCACTGAATGACATGTCACCTTGTTATATATCAGACTTAATTCATTTTAGATCTTCACATCGCGAACTTCTTTCAACAAATAAGGAACTCTTACATGAACCAAGATATCGGCAAACGTTCTTTCTCATGTGCTGCAACAGAGGCGGATCCAGCTTCGATTTTTACGGAGCGTAAATCGGAGAGAAGCTATGCGTAATCCAGATGCATTTTCATGCGTTGGGGGGGCATGCCCCCCTGGATCCGCCACTACTTTGGAACACATTGCCACTTGAACTACGCAAGTCACCAACATTGAACAGTTTCAAGACTCAACTTAATACCCATCTGTTCAGGAAAGCGTTTAACAACTAGTCATCTCTATGCACAGAGCCATTGAACATTATTTTGTTTTGGATACTAGCGCTTTATAAATTATGTATTATCATTATCATCATTCTTGTGATATTCGGAATAAAGATCGATAAAAACTCGCAAAGTGAAAAAGAACTATAAACTATAAACTTTAAAAACATCTGTCTTTCTAACCCCCAAAAAACAAGGTTAGGTGAGCCAGTGCAAGCAACCCCATACCACCATTATTGACATACCCATAATGTAATTTGCAGCCATTTTTTGGCTACGAACGCCTCGCCCGCCCGTGATTTAACAATTTACAATCGTTAGGTTATGCCAAATTTCTTACCTGCTAAGAAGTGTCGTGGGTTAAATGTACACAGACAGTACCATCGATTCAATATTGTGACTCGTCGAAAGGTTACATATCTGTATCTATTGTTGTACATATCTGTACATAACTGTTGCGGTAGACGTAAATTCAAACGTGTTACCTTACGCGGGACCTAATCATTTTTTGATATCGTATTGCGGACAATTAATTGTTAATATTGTCTACCACAACAAGTATTATAGTAGTATAGATACCAAGGTGTACATATAATGACAATAAAATAATTTGTATGCACTGTTACAACGTTAGGTATGAATGTTATTGCTAACAATCTATTTCCGTTAAATCCTTTAGAAGTGGCTAAGAAGAGAGTGTCCGAAATGAGAGCAAGTATTCCTGGGTAAATACTTCATTACAATATATCATATCCATAAATCGTACACTCTATTGATGGATGCTTCTGTGACGTCGCAATGACGTACATAGATGAAGTCTTTCATCGTCTAGAAAATAGTAAATTCTCTCATTAAAATAATTTTCGTTGGTGGATGACTACAGATCAAAACGAAATCTACGCTTTGAACGGCAGCGTAGCGACCCGTCACTGTAGGGGCGGGCGCTTTATAATAATTCACAATTTGTAATTTATACCTGAGTCTAGGCGTGAAATCATTATGAACATTTAGTTAAAAGTGAAACTAAGCGTGTGTCACGAATACGTCAATGATGTTCAACGTAATTTACCGGCAACTGAGATTATAACATTTGGGGCGCATGTACAACGTAAAATTTTTACCCTCTCGACATATCTAATCCATTACTGTGGCTGATTTATTTAGAGAACTCTGGGTAAAGCCAGTATGTGAGAAGCAGTCATCAGGAAACAAAATGACGGAATTGAGATCCGAGTAAGTCTGAATCTGTTCAAGTATAAATCTGAATCATAATGTGTTTTCTGATAATCAATGTGTATGGGCCATTACCATGGTGAATTGTGTTACTTGCCTGATAATGTGTCACTAAAAAGTCGATATCCTATCAATTGCTGGACGTGGACACAGAACTGACCTGGGTAAGGGCAAACAACAATTGTCTTTTCTAAATATAATAATACATTCTTGTCTTTCCAGGTTTAATGCCAACACGCCTATATTCCTTAATAATGACTTCCAGGAGTGGTCGCAATCGCATGGTATGGGATTGCCATTTGATGTGGATGGATATGGTAAGGTGGATACTTTTTCCCATTCATGTCATACCTACACCGATGACATTCAAGTATTACAATTTCGTACACATTATGCCATACATATACAATATACACATTAATTTCAAGATCAGAATTGAATATTTCCACCATCTGAAGTCGAGACAATATAGGATTGAACAAGAAGGCACGAAACAAATCCAGTAAATACATTTTTGTTTTTGTATAGAAAATGGAATAATGGATCTTCTGAAGGTGGTTAATACAACAAGTTACCCCAAAGAACTGACAAGGTTAGTAACATAAGTTATTCCATTGAACTGACAAGGTCAGTGCCACAGGTTATATATGTTATCGCCTTTAAACAATTACAATGTTGTAACAATTATACAGTTACGAATTACATGACTAAACGTTCGTGGTGAAGATACGCACGTGACCAATACTACTGGCATGCTGCAGTGTTATGCATGAATGCAAGCGAGCTTTGGACAATGGGCGTCATGTTCTTGACCAGGTCAAGGCGTTCTATTGAAAGCTTTATTTACTTATAATAATACTGTTCCAATGCGCTATACAAGTTTCTATTTATTCGTTTAAATCACTTTCCGATTTGCAAAACTTTTGATTTTCGTGTTATCATATATTGTGTTATCGTGGTCGGGTCATCGTGAGTTAATGAAGACACGTCTGTAATTCTCTATATACTATATACGTCAACGTCAAATAACATTGGCTTTGCTTTTAACATCTTTTAACAATGTACTTTTTATTTCAAAGGAAAGACTGTACAACCTGCGTTGTTGTTGGCAGTGCAGGAATTCTTGCTGGTAGTAAGAAAGGACCAGAGATCGACTCTCATGACGTTGTTATTAGGTACCCTGCTCGTAATTATATCTTTGATTTCCCTGATTTCTCTTCACAAACTTTTGTCGACACACACTGTTCAAATATCTGCTTTAATATGGTAAAATGCAGAAACTCACAAACTTGAACAAATAAAACCATTATATATTATTCCAAGATATTTACTATACTATAAACCAGAATCTTCCTTGTATTCCAAAACGTTAATTTAAACAATAGTTGGAAAATCTCCGAAAGGTAATGAAAGGGTAATCTAATTGTCGACCGCAATAGCAAAATCAGCATTTCAACATTTAATGCAGATTCACTGGAACGGGATTTCGATTTATTTTGTGCATATATGAAGGGCAAGATTTCCTTAGGGTATTCACCCCTAACTCTAATCCTATTCGTGCCCCTCCTCTATTGTAATTGTATATGCCCCTTTCAGGACACGTATAGATATCTGGAGGAGCATATAACACAATTAGAACTATTTCGGGATAATTGTTTGTTTTCACAAAAATATTTTATTTGTTCGTTTTAGATTTTTTTCGATAATTTCTTGTATTGATATCAGAAATGAGGAAATTAAGAACAATACTACCCTACAGTAGCACATTTTAAGCGAATCCAATTATCCCGAACTAGTTCCAAGTGTGTTATATGCAATTACATTGGAGAGGTAGGGTTAGTGTTTAGTTAGGCTGAGAAACTTTTCTATTTTAATTTCGATATTTTGTCGAGACTTTTTCAAATATTACATATTTGAAAACAGAGTAAATGGAGGACCAACTCGATGCTTTGAGGGGGATGTTGGTTCTAGAACAACAATGAGGATTTCATACCCAGAGAGTGCTCCACAAAGTCCCGGGGAATATGACCCAGAAAGTTTATTTGTGATGCTTCCTTTCAAAGACAAGGATCTGGAATGGTTAGATAGGGTGGCTACTCGTAAACCTGTGGTAAGCTATAATAAATATTACTATATGTGATGAGAACGAATATGCTGCAATAACTTGTTAGTTAAGATATCGGAGCGACTCGTTTACCGTACGACAATCATCGTTTGTCATTTTGTCTTTA